CCAATCATCCTCTTTTTGCTGAGGAAGACTGGCCCTGAGTGAACATCCATGCCCATCTTCCTCTACTTTATGTGTGGGACGCCTACCACAGCATGGCTTGCCAAGTGGTGCCACGTCAGCACCCAGGATCTGAACCGGCCAACCCCGGGCTGCCAAAGTGGAACGTGCGCACTTAACCCCTGCACCACTGGGCCAGCCCCTACAATATTTTATATATATTAAAATATGTTATGATCCAGAGAAAAAGACCATAATATTCTCAAAGTGGAATTTCCATTTCAAAGATACATTCAAAGACAAAAACAATAGAATTTCCCTAAAATGAAGAAAGAGAATAATTTCCAAAGCAAAAACACTTCATGACACTTCAAGATAATTAGATGTAGGATGATCAATAACAAGACACATCCTGATGGAACTACTGAGTATCAAGTATAAACAAAGAATTCCTCAGATATTGGAGCAAAACAGCAAATCTCATTCAAGCAGGGGGAAAAACAATCCCACCTCAGAATTCTCCACAGCACTCAATTCCACCAAAGGAGCAATGTCCATAAAGCACTGAGAAAAATGAAATTTAATTTTAAAATATTGTAACTGATCAAGATGTCATTTGAGCATAGAAGCCACTGAGAGACATTTGCTAGCATGAAAGAACTCAGGGAATGAAATATGTATGATTTCTTCGGGAGGAAGAAAAATTTGCTTGACAATGACATCCAGCCAAATAAGAGATGATTAAAAAAACTCGAGAATGGCAAAGCTAGATTAAAAGGACTAGTGGTGAACAATGAATCTGTTTAAACATAGAATGAATAGTAGACAACTATTGAAAGTATGGTAGCAAAATTCACTGTGAATTTATAAACCTGCATAACGTTAAAATAATCATATAACTGCAAAAATTGGGAGCGGGGAAGGGGAGATGGGAGGAAGTTTAAAAGATCTCATCTTTCGAAACAGGGAATAAATAGATATTGTCTAAATATCTATTTTTTTTATATGTTACATGCTAGCCTCTTAATGTTTATTCCTAAATCTTGTTTTAGGAATGCATTAATGGGCTCTTTTATGGAAAAAATATCTTGTGGTGAAGAAACATTTTTCACTTTTGTTTTTCTTCTATTAAAGTCAAATAAAATATAAATAACTATCTTTCCTTAAAAATACTTCCAAGGGTCTCATCCTATTTTTATAACTTTTATTTGTCTATTGCTCTATTATTCTAACTGAATAATATGCATAGAAAGATATTCACAATGATGTTCTCTTAAAGTTAAGGGAGGCAATTTCTGAGTTTGGAGTAATCTTTTAAACAACACATAACTGTACTTTTCTTCATTGCTTTATTTTTTATAAGTATGTCTTATTTTACAAAAACAATGACATTTTTCCCTTTAAAAATTGTAAGCAGTCTATCAAGATGTTAACATTGGTTCATTCTGGGTTATGAGAAAATGAAGATAGCAATTTTGTCTTCGTAGTTTTCTTCAGGTTTTTAATTTACAAACAAAGCTGATTTATTAATTACTTACTTTTTCACCATTCTACTTTCATGTATATGTATTTTATTAATATGTATATTTTAACAAATTTGATGTTCTAGGAAATGAAACAAATGAGTATAAATATCCCAAATAAAACAAACTATATAAACATCCCAAAGCCTGCAATGTTCAAGGAGAAAGTGTGTCAGGAAGTGCGTGATCTTACTAGGAGCACTGTTAGCAATTAAAGAATGACTGGAAAAAGTAAGAGAGGTATTTTTTGATCAGTTTCTTTATCTCATTACTGAAATTCTATGAAACAGCCTTTATTTTATGTACCATGGCACATTTACAACAAATGGTATCTGAGCAGAGTTATATACACTGGTTCCATTGGGCTAAAGGAAGAAACTGTGAAATAACTGTCTTCATTGTTACCTCATAAACCACATCAGCAACTGGAAGACCGAAAAAAAAATCTAAAATGCTCCATTTAAGTACAAAATTTTATAAAGCAGAGAAGGATATGAATATGTATTTGCTTATATTAAAATAACAACAATAACAATAGAAGGATAAACTAGAAACCTAAAAAGAAATGGTTACTAGAGAGAAGAGGGTAAGAGACAGCGATTGAAACTACACTTCTTCGAATGCATTATGTTTTGAATATTTGAGTTTGAAACTATGTATTTTACATAATTCTAAAGTTAAATTAAATTTAAAAAGTAACTCCTAAAACTCAAGAGGAAAATGAGCAAACGAACCCATGTGTATAAAAGTTGGTAGCATAACCACACAGAGAAGAACTTTTAAAGCAACTTTAAAACACAGTAAGTTGACTGAACATACCTAGTGTGATATATCCTAAAGATTGCAAATAAAAACTGTTAAACTGTTTCCAATAATCATATTGTTGATGTTGTGTTGGCATTACTGGGATAAAGCAAATGAGTCATCATGTTGATGTCACTGAGAACTGGGATTTTTTGTTAAGGAAGAAAAGATGCAAGAGATCAAGGATGGAAGACAGAAGAGGTCAAGGAAAGTTCCTATAGTATGCTGGTTTGAATAAAAAGTGTCAGTACACATTCACAATTTTACAAGCACACACACACACATTTTCAGTTCTATTCATTGAAAAGGTCTTGAAACAATGAAGACCTCAGTAGCAATGTGCACCCATAATGCCCAGATTATGATCTCTAATTATCATTTCTAATTCAAAGGAAACAAGAGCTCCCTAAATGCAGTTTGCAGGTCTGGGGCAGGAAATACGCAACTTAAACCTGGAATATCTTGTCATACCAAAAACCAAGAACGCCATTAAAGCCAATTTAAGGGGTATCAAATGTCTCAGGAGCCAATTGGAAAAGTCATCTGCTGGCCAAGAAATGAGAAAATTTGAGCACCAAGAAGGCCTGCTTCTATCCTTCTTTGAAGGGTTAAAATACTTCAAATGTGTTTAAATCCATGAAGCCATAATAATCCTAAATATGGGAGTAAAGGCCATATACCAGCTCGTTATTTTTAAAATTAGTAAAGCAATGTAATCAAGCACTTATCCCATCTTTCCTGTTAACTATGTCTTGGAGGAACTAAATAGCTGTTGACGAAAAGGTTTCTCTTTATATGGAAGAAATAGTCCAGATTATAAACAAAGAATGAATGATAAAATTAGCATGACACTATTTTGAAAGTACTAACGAATTAAGGGATCTAGAAAATGATCATCAGTGGCTGCCAACATCTCAAAAAGAGAAACGAACAGATATCATGTGCTTCCTAACAACACAGGTAAAGTATCCTTGTCAGGAAAACCAAACTCACTCCTGATTAAGCTTCCCCATACAACTACCAATTAACAGGAAACGGGCAGGACAGAGGAACATGTTAAAAGAAACCCTTAGGAAATGATTGGAATCTAGTACACTTTACTGACCAGTTTTGTTCACAAACTGCAAGCGAAATCGAGAAAAAACTAGATTAGGGGAGATTTAAGAGATGGACGAAACTTTTTGCATTGCATAGACTTCATTACAATTCTGATTCCAACTAGCAAACTGTATGAGGGAGGAGTTTCTGAAACAATGAGGAATATTTGAATATTGACTGGATATTTAATGTGGTAAAAAAATACCTTATGTTGTTTTTAGGTGGAATAATGATGTAGTTCTGTTTTTACTTTAAATAATCCTTACCATTTATACGGACATAATGAAATATTTACAGTTGAAATGATGTCTGGGATTTGCTTTGAAGTAATCTGAGTGGAGGGGAAATAAGGGTTTGTAGGTGAAACTTGCAAATTTTTTCAAGGGATGATTTTCTGCTTTTGTACATATTTATAATTTTTCATATAAAAAGTTATAAAAACAAAGAATAGAATGCCTCACGTTGGGAGGCTAGGCCTCAAGGAATGAGATAGATACATGGGAACTTCAAAATTCAGGGTTATTTAAGAAAGAACGACAAATACTAGAGGAAAAAATTACTAGTTTAAATGAATTGCAAAAAATTATTTCTTTTATGCACTATGCTAAAAACATCAGAATTAATTGAAAAATATAATACTTACTAAGTAAAGAGAGGAAAACTCCACCCGAGATACAAAGTCATTTGATTCACTTAGAGATGAAAGAAATGTATCTGCAAGACAAACATGGGCTCATGGAAATCTGTGATTTCTATACAGCGGTTGTCTAATAGTTTCGCATTGTTACTGACCACCCAATTAGCATCTTCACTACACTTATTTTCATTCACAGGAGAAATCTATGAATGATCTGTACAGTCCTTTAACGACACCCGGTAAGGATCCTGTACACCCCCTAGCCGCTTTCTCAATCTGCAGCGAGAAAGGGTAGGAGAGAAGCGAAAACGTCCTCCGCCAAGCCCTGCTCCCGGATGTGGTAAAGAAGAGGGCTTAGCAAGCTTGGAACAGAAGATATCCTAGAAAGACACTGATATAAAAGTTCTACGTGCAATGTCACGTTTAAATTCTCTTTTCTCCAAAACGTACAATAAATCTGCTGCCATCGTCTGAAATACTATGGGACTGAAAATCCTTTTGTAAAGCTGAAGAAACGCCAGCATTCTAGCTGATTTGGGAGAAGGATGTTCTGCTCATTGAAAGACGCTATATCTCAGAAACACTTAAGACACTCTGCAAATGGAAATAGAAGGAAAAACATGCCTGCCTCCCCACTTGAAGTACTCCTTTCTTAGCGTGATTTCCGACGACAGTATCTTAATACCTGAAGTTATTTGGCCATCCTTAAAAGTGCAACTTATCCTGACGTCTCAAGGGGCAGAAAAGTTGCCGAAGTCCGAGGAATGAGTCACTTCGCTCCATTTTGATGAGTAATCTCAGGTGTCATGGAACCCCGTTCGGAAGAAGGAGAGGGGAGGGGGCGTCAGATCTGCAGACGGAAGAAGACTGGCCGCTCGGGATTGGATGGCGAGATCTTGAATTTCCTAAATTTGCGTCATTTCGAAGCCAATTGGGTCCAGATGTTGTGGGCACCGACGGGTTACCGTCTCGGAAACTCTCAATCAGACGCAAGCGAAAGGAGGCGGCTAATTAAATATTGAGGAGAAAGTCGCGTGGGGAGCGTGTCACGTGGGTCTCGAGGCTCGTCGAGCTTCGGATAAATACCGAGCGGAGCTGTGCAGGCAAAAGAGCGCGCTGCGACCTCCGCTCCACCGCCGCGGCGACCGAGAGTGCGGAGCGCCCCGCGTGCGCTCAGACCGGCCGGAGGAACCCCGCGGGCCTGTCCGCCGCAGTGAGTGCCTACGCCGGGCCAGGTGGGCTTTCCGCGCCGCGCATCGCTCCCAGGTGGCTGCTGGTGGCGCTGGGATGGGCCGCTCGGGCGAGAGACAGTGGGGGGACAGCGGGGAGATGGGTATCACAAATGCCAGTGTCCCTCTTTGTCTTCTACCTGCAGAGGCTCCTGGTTTGAAGGTGTGGATCGGTGGGTTGGGAGCTGGGGGAGTTGGGATGCAAGGAGAAGGGGATTTGAGAAGCTTTGGGGCATGATTCTCTTTCCTAAGGGGCACAGGCAGGACTTCAGCCCTCAGGCTTTTTATCTTGGTTCAGGGGACCCTGAGTTCTTTTGTGGGACTGAAAATTCTGCTCCCTCAATTCTTGGATAGCCACCCCTAATATATATATTTTTCTCTCCTCCGGCTCTTCTCCCTACTCTTCCCAGAAATCCAACATGAAAATCCTCGTGGCCTTGGCAGTCATTTTTCTCGTCTCTACTCAACTGTTGGCAGAAGAAATCGGAGCCAACGATGATCTGAATTATTGGTCCGACTGGTCCGACAGCGACCAGATCAAGGTGAGACCCGGGCCCCAGACGGCCCGCTCCCTTCTTCCTGGGCTCAGGAGCTGTCGCTTTCCCCCCGCGATAGCTCCTAGTTAGCCTGGAGGGCACCGCGACCGCGACCAGAGGCGGTGGAGGCGCGCGGGGGAGTGAGGCCCGGCGTGTAAAGGAATGCCATCCGCTGGGTTCCGCGCGAGATTTTGTGCCCACCATCCAAGTTTCCTCCCGAGGGCTGCACCGTCGGGTCTCGGGAACTCCCTGGAGGAATGATGCACTCCCTGACGAGCCCGGGATTCTCATAAGGCTGGAAACCTCACAAGGTTTCGTCCCCGGGTAACGGGATTTCGGGAACTCCAGTCCAGCTGCTAGGACCCGGCGATTGGAAACGCTGGGCAGGGGCAGAGGCGGGCGCGCTGGACGCAGGCGGCAGTCGGGGCAAGGGATGAGCTGCTAGAGGCTTAGAGGGGCTTAGGTGGGCGGGAAGTAACTTCCCGCTTCCACATTGTACGGGCCTGACCTTTACATGGCTCACAGGCTATTGGTGCAAGGGAGCGCGCCTAGCGGGAACAGTAAAAGTCGCCCCGTGCAGGTCGCTTTAAAGCGTTGTCACTCATCTCCACCCGACACACACCTGTGTGCATTTAGGGCAGTGAGGCGTTTCCAAAGCCAGAGCCAGAGTCGAGACAAAGTCAGGTAGCTTCATGGCAGAGGGTCTCCTCGCTGGGAGGAAAGAGTGGAAAGCGCGCAGGGCTCTGAGGCGCTGCTCCTCCTGCTGACTCGCAAGGGCAGGGCTTGAGGGAGGCGGCGGAGCTGGACAGGAGTTGGCGCTAGGAGGGGTGGAGAAAGGGAGCGCGCCGGCCTGGACCCTACTCAGTCTCGCCGAGGGAAAGCCTGGCCTCCTCTTGCCTCCCTGCGGAGCCAGCTTCCCGGCCCTGGCCCGGGGGCCTCACTGCCTGCAGCCGAGGTTCGCCTAGGGTTGGAGCGCACCATCGGAATGACTCGGGGTTCTGGGAGCCTCGCACTGGTTGCCTACACGCCGGTTTGTCCGTACGTCTGTCCTCCAGGAGGAGCTGCCCGAGCCCTTTGAGCATCTTCTGCAGAGAATCGCCCGGAGACCCAAGCCTCAGCAGTTCTTCGGATTAATGGGCAAACGGGATGCTGGTGAGATGGGCAGCTATCCCTCTCTATGTGTCTCCGGGCACCCTGGCCTGTCTGCTCGCTCGTTCTCAGAGCACCCAGTCTCTCTTGCCCTCTGAGTAGAGATTTCCACCCCTAAAATGGGTGTTACTCCCCGGGCGCGACTCTGGGCCGCAGCTCACTAACACACGCACATGTCCGCGGAGGGAGGGAGAGAGCCGTTTCACGTACTGCACAGTGTTAGAGACCCAAACCACCAAGAACAGGAACCGACCTTAGCTAAATGCTCCCTTACTAAAGATCCAAACTAACAGAGGAGGAGAAAGCAAGGGGCCTCCAGAGGGTGGTTCTGGGAATGGGCGAAGTGCATGCGGAAGCTAATTATAGACCGCTGGGGTTAGAACAGACTTAGCTGCCCGGTGTCGTGGCAGAAATACTCGTTACCTTGAATTTATCACACCATCAGTGGAACGTGTAAATAGTTAATGTCAATTCGTCTCTTGTCAGATTCCTCAATTGAAAAACAAGTGGCCCTGTTAAAGGCTCTTTATGGTAAACATTTCTATGAATCTTTATTTTACTATTGTGAATGCACATGTAGGAAAGTGAAGAAAGTCTTTTATGGGCTGAAATATGGATTCTTGATTATGCTTGTTTAATAAAGAGACAGATTTGCATCTGTCTCTCTCCTGAGCATCAAATGGGTGGCCCTTCTTGAAGATGTGTTTCTTGTAAGAAAACAGAGAGGTGGTATGGCCCAACAGTACTTCACAGGCCTCAGGAGCAGTCTCCTGGGCCTGCATTTGAATCTGTGACCCATAGAAAGCACTTCAAAAGTATTCCTTTTGTTTGTTAAAATATTTTGTTTATATTATTAATAATTTGGTTAGCATTTGTGGTTCTGCTGTATTCCTCGGGATAGTACATGAATGGGAATATCACGTATTTTAAAAATCAATTTATTTTATAGTTCTCTTTTAAAGATATACTGTAATTTCTTTAAAACAAATTTATTCTTTGCTCATTTTATCTTTCTTTCTTCCAGGACATGGCCAGATCTCTCATAAAAGTAAGTTCAAAATTATTGTGACATTTATCAAATGCAAATGTAAATTAGATTGAATCCCACGTTATATAATATCTGATCTTATTTTCTATTATAACTTAGGACCTCATATTTTTAGTTAAGACAATATAAGAATGAAGGAGGCTCCTATTACATCCAGATCGCGATCGTTTAAAGCTCTATCGTTGAGACGTGGCATACTTATGAAAAGAATACGTGATGTTAAAAATCCTTTAACTCCCAGCTAAACTGTTGCGAAATTCCTGACACACAGAAACTGTGAGATATTAAGTATTTGTTGCTGTTTTAAGCTGCTAAAAAAAGAAAGAAATCCTTTAGCTCCTATAAATTGTTAGTTTTAGAGAAGAATTTCAGTTCTAGAGGTAGAAATCCACCACACATTTCTCTCCCCACCCCCTCCACCACCACTTCCGCTGCAAAACAAAAACAAAAAGGCATTTACAGGTATCTTCTAAGTCATTTTAGTATGATGGATCTTGTAATGACAGCACTTATTAGGGTAATCCAGCAGCCAATTAAGAGGCTTGAGCAAATGTTTGAATAGAGAATCTTTATTAAAGGTAAATATAGATAGAAATGTAGTTTTTTGATTCTATAATTGAATGGGAAACCTCAATCTATCAAAACACAGTGAAACATTTCTTAGGGCAGTGAAGAAGGCAGAATTGTGGCACTTGATGGTCGTTAGATCCCAGTTAATGGAACCAGAGTTGACAGGAAGTCCCTGGGGTCCATCTTAATTATACTGTCCACTTACTTACTCTGATTTGGATTTTGGTTCACTGGGTGGCAGAGTATGCCGCATTAAGATGGCAGCCTTATTTTCAACTAATAACAGTGTAAACCAAGAGACATTCTCCCAATACAGTTAAAGTAATAACCTTGCCAAAGGCTTCATCTTTGAAAATAAATGTCATTTATACTTAGTTTCAACAGATTTGACTTATAAGGGAATTCTGTGCAGAAAATTCTATGCAATAAAAATAAATGCATTCTATTAATGTCAAAACTAACACACTTTTCCAAAAGGAGTATTTTTTTTAAATCCAATAGAATAGAAATAATGACCTTTTAGAAGTCTCTAATTATCAGGTATAGGAATCTGACTTAACTAAGGTTGAGTTCTTGAGAAATACAACATACTTAGTAACATGAGGAAATAAGCTTGGCTATTTCTCTGTCACACAAATGCGACACTGACTCCCTAAAAGTCAAAGGTAGCTTCAATAGCAACAATATATAAAACTTTATAAACAGATAAAATATAATATGAATAAAGGATACTTGCTAATATCTAGATATAGAATTGAGGAAGTGCTTTCATTGTATTGTTTCCGTGTTAATTATAAGACTTTTTAGGAGTCTGCATTTCTTCAGGCTCACCAAAACTTGAAGTAGATATATATTTATTAAATGGGAATATATTCGGAAGCTTGCTTTTTTTTGGTACTAGTTATAACAGTTTATTTCCTCAAGATATACATATTAAAATACCCCTAAATGTATTTTTCCAGGGCATAAAACAGATTCCTTTGTTGGACTAATGGGCAAAAGAGCTTTAAATTCTGGTATGTATAAAGTAATGACTGAAAATAGACAGTATCTTAAATCTACTTGTATTATTTTCTTTCTAAGGCATAGTTTTCAAAGTATTAAAAAGGAATGATAAATTTAAAATGAGTATTTATGGTGAAAAAAATCTAATTGCAATAAATAAATCCAAGAATGGATTTACAGTTGATTAAGCTAATGTAACCACAATATCAATCTGTCTTTCTCAAACCACCAGCCTTACCAGTGTCTGCCCCATTTAATCATTACCTAAGCTGAATCTTCGGGCTAGTCTAATATTTTTTCCCTTAAATCTGCTAAATAAGCCACATGTTAAATGAACTGAACTAAGGGGAGGAGGCTATATGGGAAATAAGATCAAATTTTAACTTGTTACCAAGGTAATTTGAAAGTCTTACAAGACCTTACATCTGGCAGTCTTCCAACACAAAAATATGTACATAAACAAAAAAACCCAAATCCATTTCTCCAAATCATGTACTTTTCATGAAGTTATAGAAGCTCAAACTCTAAACATCCTGTTGGATGTTTGAAAGCATGATAGTAATATAGTGCATTCCAATGCTTTCAAAAAGGAGCACAATCAAAGCATCCTGGAGGGTTATAATTAGTTCTGGCCGTAAAACCCTTAGAGAGAAAGGATGCCACAATTCTCCACATAACCCATTTTAATTCTGAACGACTCTTTCATTTGATATAAAGGCTGCATGTTAGCTTTCTTCCCTTTAGTTTCTGTCTTCTATGTAAATGCCACATACATATGTCTGAAAACTCTTATTTCTTAACTCATTCATCACACTATTTTCAAGGTTAAATAACCGCTGTATCATTTTCATAGAGACTGATTTTTTTGCTAAGCACGTTTAGGCATTATAGTGCTTAGTTTAGATTTCAAGGAAAAGCTATTCAAATTCTCTTTATTTTACCTTCAGTGAAAATAGAATTAAAATACTAATCATGTGATTATTTAGAAAGTAATCAGTAGCTATCTCATCCATTTAGAGTATATTACGTTTCTAGAAAATCTATAACTAGGATGTGCTGGCTTAATTATCTGGAAAAGTCATGCAAAAAACATCTATCCTAGTATTTATGTTGGTTCTGTACCTTCCATATTTATATACTATATATGTATTTCTTCATCAGTAATTTTGAGACTGCTCAAGTTTAAATTTTAAAGTTACCCATGAATGAAATGAGTTGTTGAAAAACTTAAATGAAGTTTTAAATGAAAAACTTAAAATTGTTTTATTACTATGTATCCTCTTCCCACTTTTGGAAATGGAATATAAATCTAAACCACGCTGGCTTTACTTATGTCAGAAGTATCATTAGCCGTATATAACTGTGGTTTTCTTGATAATCATATTTGTCATCAACTTTCTCTTTCCAGAATTGATACGGGTTTCAGAACAGGCTTAACTTTATAAATAATGTAGATATGCTATTAAATATACTTAAAGAAATAATATAATTATAGATAATAAATAAAATTACTATAAAGAATCAGGATCAATTTGAGACTAAATCTTTACTTCTCCATTTTAGTTAAGAAAATATAAAAAAAAAATGGGCAGAAAATGTAATCTATGCTCAATCAGAGATCTTTTCGATAGTCAGTTGAGGCAAGGTTATCATAGTCTTCTACAGCCCTCTGATCCTTGCCTTTTACAGTCACAGATCCCTTTGACAGTCTGAGAAATCTAGAAACCCTCTTCCCAGAGAAACCTTCATCAGCTCATACACACAAAAATTCACATACAGTTTCAGAGGGTTCAAGGACCAGATAAGAAACTCTGCTTCCAGTTCAGAGGACATTGTGCTCCAGCTAAATCACTGATCTGTCTTTGGTTAGTTACATTAGCATTCACCTCACTTCTCTGAGGAACAGAATCATATTACCTAAAGCTTGTCAGGAACTGAACTTGTGCTAGTCATCCTCCTCCTAATATAAAAATACCAAGATGAGAAACGGACTGTTGCCTTCCTTCAGGACCGCCCAGTTGGAAGTTCCAACTGTTCCACACCAGAAGCGCATCCATGATTGACATTAAACGTTCAGCTTATTGTTAACCTCACTTAAGGGCGTATGGATGCTAAAGATCATCTGCTCAGTGGTGAAAGGGGAAAGTGGTAACACTGGATCCTTTACCTACCTTCTCTCTCAACACGTCCTCTCACTGAGAACATTGTTTACAGTGGCACCTATGATTCCTACCTATCTTTCACAGTTCTTTCTACTATTTCTATTTAAATGCAGTATTTTATACAGAGCATACTGAATTTTAAAGAGCAGAGTAGTTTCACTGTAACGTAAATCTAAGTGTATGAAGTATTAGCTAAAATGATGAAAAATATACTTAAGTATCTTGATCACAACAGTCTGATCCTTACCCTTTTGTGGTTACAGACCCCTTTGAAATTGTTTACAATACAATACACTACACTACAAAATAATATAACATAATTTTGACTTTTTTTTGTCCAGATAGGAAAAGTACTTAAATTACTTGCTTGCTATATGTTAAGTACCTTTGAAAGCACTGATTAATCTTTCACAGGCCATTAGGGTGCTAGAAGGTAAGTCAAACTGTGTTGTCTTTAGATGGCACAATTGCCTTACCTACAGACAGTGAGGTTATTTTTAGTCTCAGGGACAACCCATCATTGTAAAGTATCCACAAGATAGGAAGAGACCCTCACACCAATAGGTACCCCTATAACAGGAATCAGCAAACTTTTTTTGTAAAGAGCCAGACAGTAAATATTTCAGACTTTGTGAGCCTTGCAGTGTCTGTTAAAACTACTCACATCTGCCATTTTAATGCTAATGTAGCCACACATAATACATAAATGAATGTGTGTGGCCATGTCCCAATAAAACATTATTTACAAGAAAAAATAGTGGGCTGGATTTGGCTCATGGCCTGTAGTTTTTTGACTCTGTCCTAGAATAAAAGTCCCACGTTTCATCCTACCACTATTCCTGGTTACTTTAGGCATTGTCCTTTCTAAAAATCACCATGGGTGTCTACCATTGCTTGAGAAAGCTGTTGAGAATCAATGTTGGAATGTATTATGGAAATATGCTTTGGGGTACCAAGTGTTTGATGTATGACCAAAATAACCAAGAATTCTGTGGTTATATCACTTCCAGTAAGGATAAAAACTGAATCAAGATTGGAAGATGTGCAAATAAAGCTCTTAGAAATACTTCCATGGAGGGAAAAAAGTCATTATGAGTTTAAAATAAATTACTGTATGCCTTGAACTTTATTTGTTTAACTCCCTCAGTGAATCCTCTTAAAAACCCCTTTACCTTCTTTTTGTTCTCAGTGGCTTATGAAAGGAGTGCAATGCAGAATTATGAAAGAAGACGTAAATGAACTACCTAATGTATTATTTATTGAACTTCGTGTGTGTCACTGGCCCATGATAGGTAAAGCGAGACAAGCGCTATGAGGAATAATTATTTATTTAATAATAATTGTTGTTTTGAGTTGATAACTGAAAAAGTGTTTATTTTCCGTATTGTGCCAATATGTGTTCTAAAACTGTTATAATTCTAATATGATGACTCCTTCAGAAGTAGACATCAGTGATAATTTCTCAACAAAGCACAGTATTCAATAAAATTGTAAAACCTGTCAATGCTACGGTCTCCAAAGGAAGAAATCATTTTTGTTTCTTGGAAGCGGCCACGTTAGCTACTGCTACAGGCAAGGAAACTCACAGACAGGCTTGTGCTTTTCCATTTGTTTTCATGGTAAAAATGTGCTGAGATTTGGTATCAAACTGCATTTGTATCCCCGAAGCATGTTTCATGTTTTGTGACTATATAGAGATGTTTTAAAAGTTTTAATGTGATTCTAAGGTCTTCATTTCATTGTATAATGTGTTGTGATATTTAACATTTTAAATAAAAGAAAAAATGTCTTGAGAATTGGGTTTTATTCTTTCACTAATATTTATGTCAAATCAGTAACCTTTCTTTTAGTAGATGAAATATATTAAAAGCTGTTTTGGCTGCTAAATAATGAAACATAAATCTACTAAATTTCTCTTTTTTAAGGAAAGTGACTAAAATATAATCTTAGTCTCTCTCTCACACATGCACGCATTTTTCTTTTTTTTTTTTTTGGCTCAGTTATTTGACATGAGATCATTCACAGAGAAAAAAATTACGTTTTGGAATCTGAAGAGTAAAGGCTAACTTCTGTTAATATATGCCTACGATTCCTTTTTACAAATAGGATAATAATCTATTTTAAAGATGCATTTCACTGGCTATTTCTTTGTTGGGTAAAACATCAGCAACATGACCATTTCGGCCCTGCTTGGAGCCCAGGTATAAATGCACCAGTGTGTGAGTCTCACTAGAATTGAGACAGCAAACCAAACTCTCACAAAGGTCATCAGGAGATGATACAGAAAGGTGGGGGGCTGATAATATGGCATCACCCCCCTAACGAAGACAAGAGCCCTTTCCAGCATTTCTACGGTGTGTGTGTGTGAACGCTGACGCCTGTACACTCTCCTGCTGAAGCATGTGCATCAGGAGTGAATACAGAGCGATCAGAGGGAGACTCTAGTGGATTTATGTAAGGGGAAGGATTGACCAATGTCCTCGCAGCCATTTTCTGATTGCGTAGAGAGTGTGAAATATTGAGGAGTGGTAAAAGCAACTCAGGATAAGCGTTGTTTGGTGAAATAAAACTTCACGAGTTTAGCCTGCACTGGAGACTTGTTGGTCAATCTTAAAACCATTTGTGGGACAGGAGAGCTAAAGCATATCTCAACATTTATATCCTTAAATGAATAATTTGTTTAAGAAAGACTCCAACAAACTCATTTTTCTTATTACACATTTAAACATTACAAATTATATTATGATAAGCAAAATGGAGAAAATCCGAGTCATCTAGAGCTCCACTGCCCAACAGTAATAATTGTAATATATAATAATAATCATAATAGCTATCATTATATATATTAAATCACTCAGTGAGAGAAGTATTATTATCATCATCATTTTACAGATGAGCATATGAAGCTCAAGGAAATGTTGAGGTCAGAGATTATAATACGAGAAGAGTCACGATTAGAAAGGAATTATTAGGAGGAAATGCAGAGCAAATTAATATTTAACAATGAGATTGATTAAGCAAATTGGCATATTGATACAACTGAATATTAAGCTGTCACTTAAAAAGACATTATGGTGTGTTTAGTGACTTGTAACAACATATGTGGTATGTTGTTAAGCACAAAGCAGTTGTTCTGCATTATGTATACACATAGATCTCTGCATAAATGTTATAACAAGCAGGAATAATGTAGTGGATAAGAGGGTGGGATTCAGGGTCAAACTGCTCAGGTTGGAACCCTGGCTCCATCACTTAATGGCTGTGTGATGATGGGCGAGTCCCTTCACTTTTTCCAGCCTATTTTCCTCATCAGTAAAATGGGACTAATGATGGCATCCACTACCATCATACAAGGTGGAGAATATCCACCGTGGAGCTTAGATGAGGCTGTGGGACATGATGCATGTGAAGCTCTGAGCAGCTCTGCAGTGCACAGCAAGCATGCTGGGAATGTTACCTATTGCCATTATTAGCTACTCTTCAGAATTTCTCCAGTGAGAAACTTAGCACTATATCATAATCACTGCAATGTTTTCATATAGGCACACTGAGGAAGCAGCAGCATGGGGGTGCTTTTTAAATAGTTGCCACACAAATTAAATCTAGGGCTGTTTCACAAATTGCACAGTGCTTTACGCTGTTCATCACTGCATGAGAAGGTCCCCACGGCACTGTCCTTCTCTAAGATCATATAAATCTCTGCAGCATGATCCCACAGTGCTGCGTAAAGACCTCATTCAGGCTTGCTTTCCCTCCAGGCTCAGAAACCCAGCAACAGCGTGAGCAGGGAAAGGGAGAGAAACTCCAGCTTTAAGTTTGTACTCATGAAATATTTACTAGGACTTCCTCTCTGTGGCTCAGTTGCTTTAACTACAATAAGTTTTCTTCACCTACGTTTTTCTTAAATATTTTTATTCTATTATGAAAGAGCAAAAAGACCAATATATATAGTTAAGTTACCTGAATACTTTATCACTTTGGTTTTTTGTTTTGCTTTGGTTTTGCTCAAGATCCAGGGCAAAAATCAATGACACTCAAGCTGAGGAATTTGAGGAGAATCTAACAAAGGGACAAATTACAAAGTTGTGGGCAGGATGTACAGAAGCCAGCAATGCAAGGTGGTTCTCCAGGCTTGGGAGCCACTGCTACCCCTAGGCTTGAAGGATCAAGACAAGGAGGTGAGGGTCTCTATGTGCAAAGGGCTGCCTGGCAGCTGTTGTCTTCAGTAGGAGGACGGAACCAACACAGGTTAACCAGGTTTGTGGCAGGGGAAGAGCGTACGGAGGCCAGTGAATAAATATCCCAACCTCACTCTCCTCCCGCTTTCTGATCTGCCATTTGTGCCTTGGACAAACCCAGCTGGAAAACAGAGGGCTCGGAGCCCTGGATGTTGTCCACACTGGCAAGCAGCACAGACAGTACACTGGAGCAGGCGGAGAAACCCGGTGGGCGCATTTGGAGGTGGAAAAGGAAGATGTCCCATGCATCAAGTACTCCATTATTTTGAATCAAAAAGAAACTCATAAGCAGAACTTCAAATACAGAAATGCAAAGAGTAAAAAATAAAAGTCCTCCTCTAGACACTCACTTCTACTCTCCAGGGATACAGTTTCATATGGACTCATCCAAACCAACAAATGAACAAAAATAATACCTTATTTCAACTTGAGCACATGCTGAAATCTCCCCTTTTAACACCAAATCATTATACATGGTTTTTTGAAAGGCATATTTCTAAAGAACTAAATCATTGGTATTTGTGAAAAACAGAGTAAGGACTTTTAATGGACCAGAAATTATGTGGATCCCTAAAAAAGAAAGGGCACAGGTAAATTCCTGGCAGGAAATTGCAAAGGCTATGAAAGAAAGTGCTGACCCCAGAAGAGGGAATTGACGGCTGCAGAACACAGACTTCTCATCAGCAACAACTGGTGCCAGGAGAGAAGGGAACAAAATCTAAAAATTCTTAAGGGAAATAATTTACCCAAACTGTCACTTAACAATGAGGATGAATTTGTGAAAGAAGAAAAACTAACTAAAAGCTGTTAGCTTAAGGCTTTATTAAAACCATCACAACAGAACAGCTCAAGATGGCGGTTCTGCCGGAGGGCAGACAGCCTAAAGAATTTACATGTTAGACTGATGAAGGTCAGTCAAAGTTCCACTATATTCTGAGAATTGTTCACTGTTCCAGTTCTCAGAAGGTATGGGGAACTTAGACTGTACCAGTCATGGGACAGGACTTGGGGACTGCAAGACTGGAGTGAAGGTTTGAGCAGCTGTTAGATAGTCAACGTGGATTTGGTAAGAGTGGTGAGGAGGAAGAGGTGGGGCCTACAGCTTGCTAGAGTCAGTGGAATAAATTTAGCCATTCAGCTTCTTTCACAAATTAAGGACATTTTCTAACATATGAGACCTTAGAAAGTTTAACATCCACATTCTTTGAAAGAATTACTAGAGGATGTATTTCAGCAAGAATAAAAATAACTCTGGAAGGAAGTTACGAGCAAGAAACATGGTGAACAAAGTAATCATCTAAAAAAATAGTGCTAAATTGAAATCAGTTGTGTGTGTGTTAAACCAACCATCTGGAAATAAAATTCCATAAGAAGTCAACATGAGAGTTAGTTGAGGAAGAAGGAAGGAGAGTGTAAAAGGAAAGAAATGCTAGCTGAATCTCTTGTCTTGTTGAGAGGAAGAGTAGAACATAGACGCTATTGACTCTAGATTTTTTTTTAAGTATGTTTTTCTTTGATGAGGAAGATTGCCTCTGAGCTAACATCTGTTGTCAATCTTCCTCTTTTTTTTTTTCTCCCCAAAGCCCCAGTGCATAGTTGTATATCCTAGTTGTAAGTCATTCTAGTTCTTCTATGTGGGATGCTGCCACAGCATGGCAGTGAACCGGTCCGCACTCAGGATCTGAACCAGCAAACCCCAGGCCACCAAACTGGAGCATGTGAACTTAACCACTCAGCCACAGGGCCGGCCCCTCTAGACTTTTTTTTAAAGAAAATTTGAGTTTCTGTTTGTGAGCTAAAAGTGTGCACAACTTGAACACAAAAAGAACAGATGAACAGTTATGCAACTATCAGAGCAGAAGGACGACAATGTTGCAAAACACAACCAACCAACAGAAGGTAAGAAAGCCTTAAAAAAATTTTTTGGCAAATAAAAAACAAAAAACTAAGATAGGAATAAAACAAAACTTCTCCATATTTACAATAAATGTGAGACTCGTTAAAAGACAGAGACTTTTAATCAGACCTATTAAAACACAGAGACTTTTAGGTTGGTTTTAAAAAAAATCTAGCCATTGTTATTTACCAGAGACAAATCTGAAAAAATGTAATACAGTATTGTTGAAAATAAAGGCATATTAAAAATATACCTATCACATGCTAACACAATGATTCTACAGCAATATTACTATCAGACATAATAGAATTCAAGATAAAACCTTTCAGGGGATCAAAAAGGATATTCATATTGACAAAAGGAGTAATCCACTAAGAAGATATAACACTAGTGAACATTTATGAATATGAGGTAGGTTCAAAATATATCAAGTGGAATCTAATAGAAATATTAAAAAGTATTAAAAATGAACATACCTATAATAATTGTGAGAAATATCACACTTTTTCAATAAACAACAGATTAGTCAAAAAATAAGCAAGTGTAAGAGGAGCTGAATAACATAATTAAAAATCTTCAACAAACAGACACGGAGAATTAAGACAAATTGACATACGTAATTAAGAATCTTCATCAAAATTAAGATAAATATACATAA